CCGGAGCCCAGCAGGTTGAGGCTGCGGTGGCTGGGAGTGGCCACTGCACTCCAGTCTGGGCAACAGAGTGAGACTCTGAGCAACTGAAAACCTCTGAAGTAAAATCAAAAAAAATAAAATAAAATTTAAAAAAACGAAATAAATCATATCGGTGGTGGTAGAATCAGTATTGTTATTGTGAGATTGTTGTAAGATCAAGCAGATGGGTAATTATGGGATATTCTGATTTTTTTTTTTTTTTTGAGTTGGAGTCCCACGCTGTTGCTCAGGCTGGAGTATAGTGGGATGATCATGACTCACAGCCTTGCCCTCCTGGGCCAGGAGATCCTTCTGCCTTAGCCTCCCAAGTAGCTGGGACTACAAGTGTGAACCACCATGCCTGGCTAATTTTTTTTTTAAGAGATGAGCTCTTGCTATGTTGCCCAGGCTGATCTCAAACTCCTAGACTCAAGCAGTCCTCCTGCCTCAGCCTCCCAAAGTGCTAGGATTGTAGCCATCAGCCACTATGTCTGTAATCCTATATTCTATTTCTTTCATTCTCCATGTCCTTGAGAAGCAGGATTCATGATGTGAAACAAAGGAGATACTAATGCAATACAGAAAGAGTTAAGTAAAAACTCTGTCGTGTTGAATCTGAATTGAAAATGTCAGTATAAGCTTATAAGGCATTTTATCTTTGAATATACACATAGTGTTTTATGTGTGTATATGTACATTGCATCTACATGTGAATGAATGTATATATGTATGTATGTGTAGCACTGGCTACTGACAAAGCATAGATACAAAGACCAATCCAGACCGGGCTCGGTGGTTCAGCCTGTAATCCCAGCACTTTGGGAGGCCGAGGTGAGTGGATTGCCTGAGCCTGCAGGTTCGAGACCCGCCTGGGCAACTTGGTGAGACCTCATCTCTATACTAAATCAAAAATCAGCCGGGCATCGTAGCGCACGCCTGTAGTTCCAGCTACTTGGAAAGCTGAGGCGGAAGGATCGCTGGAGCCCAGCAGGTCGAGGCTGCGGTGGCCGGGAGCGGCCACTGCACTCTAGTCTGGGTGACAGAGTGAGACTCCAACTCAAACAAAATTAAATTAAACTAAAAAAAAAAAAAAGATCAACCCAGTAGCAATAAGCACCCCTTGCCCAGATTATGGTCTCAAAATACCACTTGCCACTAATATTAAAAAATAAAGATTCTTCATGAAGAATCAGCTGATATCATGTCTTGAGCAGCAAATGTAGGTGTGGCTAGAACACCATGCCGGATAGCAAGGAAGCTGTCAAAATTACAAGGGTCGTGTCAGAAGGACTCAGAAGGCCAACTGAAGAGGCTTCCACCGACCACAGACGGGACATTTCCAACTTCAGTAAAGATAATAACTGCAAAGCACTAAAATATATCAAATAGATTTAAATCCATGGTGCTGATGATAGTTACAAAAACATTACATCATGAAACTAGTAAAAAATAAAGCTCACTGGTCACCTCACCTTCAGAGGATACAGGGGCAAATTCACTATTCTGGAGCCTGAGGAGCAAAGGGAATGAATGAAGCCTTTTTCCTGCCTTCCCTATGTGAAACGTGCCAGTGGGTGACAATAGATAGGGGAAGCATCTCTGAATAGAAGCATCCCGGCCAGTCGTGCTTCTGGAAGAGCACTGAAAGAACAGCATGACGGGTCTGGACAAGCGAGGCCTCTGGAAGGAAAGCCAGCACCCCCTCTGGTCTTGCCAGTGAGATGGAACCAGACTCTCAAGTCTCTGGACCCGGAGGCCAGGGGAGCCCTACTGAACTGCACCACAAGTGCGCTGTCAGCAGCTTCCAGACTGCGGGAAGGCCAGGTCCAATGGCCCCGGAGTCTTCAACAAAGTGTAAGGAAAGAAACAGAGCAAGGGGGAAACACTGGGTTAAAAGAGACCCAAAGACTTTTTTTTTAAAGAGCAGAAACAAATTCTACTGTCTTGGGATGCACCGTAGGGTGATCAACTATGAAGGAATACAAGCAAGTCTGAACTCAGACCAGTGGCCACTTTTGGAGGGAGAGAGGGGCTATGATTTTGATGGGGGTACTTGGAGGGGCTTCAGGGGAGGTTGGCAAAGTTCTCGACTTGAGCGGTAGTTTCAAGGCTGGTTTGTTGCCTTATAATGATTCCTTAAGCTCTAATTTGTTAGGTGAGATTTTCTGTATCTGTGCTTTAGTTCACAATAAAAAAAGTTTTTAAAAACCTCCAACTTTGGCCAGGCATGGTGGCTCATGTGGTAATCCCAGCACTTTGGGGATGACAACAAGACAAGAGGATCACTGAGGCCAGGAGTTCAAGACCAGTCTGGGCAACATAGCGAGACCCTATCTCTATTAAAAAAATTTAAAAATTAGTCAGGTTTGGAGGCACACACCTGTAGTCCCTGTTACTTAGGAGGCTGAGACAAGAGGATTGCTTGAGCCCAGCTCAAGGCTGCAGTGAGCTATAATTGTACCACTGCTCTCTAGCCCGAGCAATAGATTGTTGATGTCTCAGAAAACAACAACAGAAACAAACTCAAATTTAAGTCAGATCCTGTCCTCCTTTGCACAAAACCCTCTAATGGCATCCTTTTAGCTAAGAGGAAGGGCCAGACTCTTGACAGGCCCACATAGTCAGGCCCCGTTAACGGCTGGTCATCTCTCATACTTGCCCTACACTGCAGACTCCCTTGCCTTTCCACATGCTGTTCCTTCTGTCCAGAATGCTCTTCTCCAAGATGTCCCTGGCTAACGCCCTCACCTCCCTCAGGTCTTTTTCAATGTCACCTTTCTAGCTATGTTTTCCTTGAGCATCCATTAAAAATTGCACCCACAGCCGGGTGTGGTGGCTCAAGCCTGTAATCCCATTACTTTGGGAAGCCGAGATGAGTGGATTGCCTGAGCCCATGGTTCGAGAATGGCCTGGGCAACTTGGTGAGACCTCATCTCTACAGTAAATCAAAAAATTAGCCGGGTGTGGCAGCACACACCTGTAGTTCTGGCTACTTGGAAGGCTGAGGCAGAAGGATTACCTGAGCCCAGCAGGTCGATGCTGGGCTGGCTGTGAGCGTGCACTACAGCCTGGGCATCGGAGTGAGACTCCAACTCAAACAACAACAAAAAAAATTGCACCCCCAAACACATCCTATTCCTGCTCTGCTTTTCTCTGTGGCATATTTTGCATCTAACATGCTACAATTATATCTGCTTATTTATTGTGGGTTTCCCTAGCCCCCTGAATGGGAGGACAGGTATTTCATCTGCCATATCCCGGTACCTACAACAGTGCCTGGCGCAGGACAGTAAATAGTCATCAAATAAAGAAGTCTTGGGTGAAGGTGGCCTCTGGCACTGTTCTACCTGGTGCGCTTCTGGCCGGGGACCTGTCCTGTTGTCACAGCCAAGACGCCACTGCCTGGAGAGGGCGGCTCTCCTTACAGAGTGGGCCTGGGTGACACTCACCCCTGTCCAGCCCAGGTGTGACATGGAGAGCCACTGAACCCAAGGACCGGAAACCATAGGCCCAACCCCAAGGGGCAACCGGGGCTTAGTGCTCCAAAGTATCCATGTTGTCAATGGCGCCCATGGGGCCCTGGGACGGAGTGCTGTCTTGTGTCAGCGGGATACACAGATTCTGCTAGGAAAATCGCTCCCCTATACCCAACAGATCAGTATTCTATGGTGTCCCCCAAAGAGCACAGGGGTTCCCCCCACATATTTGAGAACCACAGACGGTCACAATTCTTTGAAGTTTCCTTCTGAGCCTTCCAAGACCCCTCGCACCAGCCTCCACCTCTCCCACTCTGCCCGCTTCCCACCTCTGTCTCACTTCCCCAGCTCTGTGCTCTGGCCTGTGCCCAGCCCACTGCTGCACGCCCTTGGGATGCCCCCGATCTCCCCATCTAGTCAAGTCCACTCCCTTTTCAAAGCTCCCTCTTTCCCTCCACAGTCAGTGAAGCCCCACTCGGTGCCAAGCCCATGCCTGGCCCTGGTGGTATAGAGAAGACATGACCATGTTCCAGCCCAGGCAGAACTCCCAGTCTTGGGAGGAGAGAGGCAGGCCTTCCACTTCCAGACATCACAGTTAAGGTACCGGGGGCCCGTGCTTATGAGTCCACTGCATCCTCTTGAGAATCCCACAAGGCAGTTATTACGATTGTCTCCATAATAATTGTCAGACAGGTAAACCGAGGCACAGAGTACAAGGTCACAAAGCCAGTCACTGGTGAAGCTGGGTTTTGAACCCAGGTGTTTTGGCTGCAGAACTGGCTTTCTCAACCACCATGTGCTAAGAACGGATAGAAACAATTGCTGTCCAAAGGGAGGAGTGACAACCTGCCTGGGGGTCAGGGGAGGCTTCATGGAGGAGGGGACCACTGTGCTGGATGGCAGGAGGAGGGGCAAGTGGCTTCAGACTGAGAGGACAGCGGGACAGCAGCCTGGCAGAGGGAACACCGGCAGAAGGCTAGCTCTTTGGGGTGACTGGGCTGCATTGGGGGTGTCGGGAGGGGCTGCTTGATCTGTGGGGCCTGGGTCCTTTGCGGAGGAGCCTGGGTTCACTTCTGTGGGGAGCGGGGGCATGGAAGGGTTTTACTCGTGGGAGTGACATGGTCAGATCCCTGTGGCTGCTCCCCGGGAGGCTGTTGTGAGGAGAGGCTGGGGAGGTGGGAAGGGGATGGCGTCCTGGACCTTATACCGGGCAGCTGTTTTCTTTTGCTAGTGCCTCCACTTACTCCAGAATCTTGGGCGATGATCAGGTCTCTGAGACTCAGTTTCCTTCTCTGTAAAATGGGGGCAGAAATGCCACCATCCTCCCAGAAGTTTGAACAAGCTATTGCAGGAAAATGTGCCCCGCAGAGCCAGGTCCTGGCAGGTGCTAAAAAGGGCAGCCACTGTTGTCACCAAGGGGATCTGGGAAGTTGGGCTCTTGTTCTCCTTAGAGCACAGCCTGCTTTCCTCGGGTGACCCTTCCGGGCATTGGAGACTGATACTCACCACCACCTCCAGGTCAGAGTTCAGGTGCCGCTGGGTGTCGGACATCTGCACCAAGATCTCACCTGGAGGAACGAAGGAGCTCTGGTTGTAGTGTGGACAAGCTTGCCCCGCCCACCCGCTTCCTAAGGGCCTGCCTGAGGCTGGATTTTTGGGCCCAAAGTCCAGGAATTTCCCATGTGGCTCTCAGGGACTCAGGCAGTGCCATCCCAGCCCTGGACAGCCCCGCAGGGCGTGGTGGGGCGGAGGTTGGGCTTCAGAATGAGAGTCTGGGCTCGGGGCCATGGACTTCAAGGCCTAGGTCAGAGGTGGGGGGGCATCCCGGAAGGGCGAGTGTGCAAAAGGAACTCCCTCTGGGCCCAGGGTGGTGGGCAAGGGGAGATCCAGGTCAGAGGGGAGGCATCAGGGACACAGGCAGAGACCAGGGGCTGGAGGCAGGCCAGGAAGAGGATCCCCTAGGCCTGAGAAGGGAGCATGGGGGGAGAAGGCCTCACCCAGGATCTGTGAGGTGGAACTCTGCAGGGCCTGCTCCCCGATCTTCTGAATGGCACTGAAGTAGATCTCAGCAGCCTCGGACAGAGCTACAGGAGAGAAGGGATGGATCGGGCCCCAGCTGCCATCTGCCCCCACCCTCTGGAGACTCCTGGAGGGGACCATGTCGGTCGTGAGTGGGGTGCAAGCATCCGTGTGTGCTCTGAGGAGAGTGTGGGCGCTTGCGTGGTGAGACTCAGGTGCAGGCACGGGGTGAGGCTGGGGGCAGAGAGTGGGGGGGCAGAGATTGGGGAGGGCAGGCTTTGACTCTGAGGTCCTAAGAGGCAGGGGGATGGGTGACCCTCTGCTTCGGTGTTGATTGGCGCTGGTGGGGGGCAGCGATGCTGTTGGAAGTGCAGGTGGCCACTGTGGGACAGGGTTTTCATGGGGACCGAGGAGAGGTGAGGAGAGGGTGGGTGGCCAGTTGAGGTGAGGAGACCAGCTGCGGTGTGAGGCTGGGGGTGCAGAGGTCATGGGGCTGGGTTCAGGGGGTGGCATTGAGGTGACACCTAGGATTGTGTGCACCGTCGGGGGTGTGCTGGGGTGTGGGCTCTGTGTCTCGGGAGTGTCTGGGGGCCCCTGATAAAGGGGGTTAGACTGGGATGGGTGGGCAGGAGGGTGGCATGTGTCTGGCCTCTCTGGTCGCAGGGCTGTGGCGGTGAGGGAGGTTGATAGGAGGGGTAGGGCAGAGAGGAGCAGTTGCTGGTGTGCAGTGTCTGGAATGTGGGCGAGTGCACGGAGGGGCCCGGATGGGTACAGGCCACAGAGGCCTGGGCTGGGTGTTCCGTGGTAGGCACTCACCATGGAAGGCCCGCAGGTAGTTGTTACCCAGGTACACCAAGTTCTCCAGGGCAGGGTTAAACTGCTCCAGGATGCTCTGGACCCCGAGGGCAAGGTGAGGGACACGTGGAAACAGAAGAGGAAGAAGAATGATGGACACAGCCAAGTTGCAGGGTCTCAGGGACAGGGCACACCCAAACCCACTGAGAAGCCTCCAGATTCTGGGGAGCCCACCTAGAAACCTAGAGTCTGCTGGAATCCTGGCTTTAGCAGCAGGGGCCATCTTACAGGGCCCTGTTCTAAGCCAGGGCTCCCTTGCAGCCTGTTACTGCTTACACCTGCCTTAGCAGGACCTTGGCCCCTCATGAGCTGGTGCACCTTGAAGGCTGTCCTTCCCCTGGACTGAAGCCTGTTCACCTGCCGTGGCCCCACTGGGCACAGCTCAACCCTGCTCTGTGTCCAGGCCTTGCCGGGTTAGACACATTGGACTGCTGACAGCCACCTCAGGGGCAAGGACAGATTTTGCCCTGCTCAAAGAAGAGCACCCCTGGAAGCAGGGCTGTGGCTGAATCACAGTGGCTGGGGCCAGGCAGTGAGCTTCCTTAGTGGTGCAGACAGCCCTGGACTCGGCCTTGGACTTGAGTCTTGGTTCAAATCCCAGCAGCACCTCTTCGTCCCTTCATGACCTTGAAAGTGCTGTCTAACCTCTTTGGTCTCAGTTTTTTTGTCTATCAAACGGGGTGATCATTTTCTACAGGTGGGTGACGTGAGACATATGTGAAAGGGTCCTGCTTGCAGGAAGTGCTCAATAAATGTCTATGGTGACTGCAGCAACCCCCTGGAGTGAAGTAGGAGTCTGAGTGAGGAGCTCCGGAATGACAGAGAGAGAGAGACCCTACTCCCTGGCCAGGAGTCAGTTTCTCCCATCTGAACTCCCGCCTCTCATCTGTTCAGCGTTTGGGAATTGGGGGCCCTGGTGGCTGACTGCTTTAGGGAGCTCCACCCCCATGCCTGCCGCTCAGCCCAGCCTGGCTCCAGGCCTCCCTTCCCAGAACACCTGTAGCCCTGGCCTTCCGTCCTCCAGGGCGACCTGACCTCTGTGCCCTGGAGGAGGTGCCCTGGCCCTGACCTGGGCCACTGTGCTCACCTTGTAGATGGCCATGGTGGACCTGTAGAACTGGTCCATCTCTGGGGCCATGGGTGGCTGCCGCTGGGTCTGAGCAGGAGGCCGAGAGCTGGTGGCCAGTGGCTGGGCTGGGAGCACCAGGGTTGATGCTTGCAGGTGCCCACACCTCGGGGGCAGCGAGGAGGCTGTGGAGTGGAACCTGGAGTTGGAGGCCTGCCTTGGAGGAGGCGGCAGCTTAATTATTCACTAGCTAGGGATGTCAGAATGCGATCTGGGGCGTAACCAGACCCGGCGGGGAAGGCATCCTGTGACGGGCGGGTTCGTGTGACCTGCCCTTCAATTATTCACCCCTCAGAGCTGCGGGCCGGGGTGCACACATGGATGGGTCTGTCTCCTGGGTCGCCCCCTCCTCGAGGACGCCTGGCCCTGGGGGTCCTGCCCTCCCATCTGCCTGTGCTGGGCACTGCCCACCCTATTGGGCCAGAGTTGCCCGATGCCTTCCTCCGGGACGCCCCCTGCCAGACCCAGTGAAGGCAGCCCCTGGAGGGAACACACCCTTGGTCGTCACTGTCCTTGGGCCTCGTCTCTGCCCAGAGCCCTTCAGACCTGTGCCTCACAGCGGAGGCCGCGCCCTCTGGCCCGCCCAGCTCCTCTGCATGCTGGGGAGGGGGCAGCACAAATCCTGGAGCTGCACAGACCTGGGGCAGACCTGGGGCAAAGCTTGGCCCTGCTCACTGGCTCTCCCTTGTCTCCACTGCGAAGACTGAGAAACCGTCCCCTTGGGCCTGCCTAAGGTATGTGGGCCGGCACCCTCTGAACACCCTAAGAGGCTGTTCTGCAGAGGCCTAGAGGAAAGAGGAGGTGTCCCTGTCCCAGGGAGCCTAGGAAACAGAGTATCTGAGTGTGCCCAGGAGAGGCCAGGTCAAGGCTGAGGGGGGCTGGGGGTGGGGACACAGGGCATCACACCATAGCATGCACAACACAGGCAAACTTGAATCCAAACCGTTTATTTCACAGTCTTGGGGCAGTCCCTGGAGCCCCACCCCACTCCTGGAAGAATAACTCAATTCCTAGGAATGACCTTTGAGAGCGGAGGAGAGTCCTCGGGCAGGTGGCTGCGAGGGGTGGGGTGCTGGGCCAGTGTGAGGGGCAAAGTCAAGCCTGCTTCCTGCTCTCGGAGCCCGGGTTTTCCCTGCTGATGGGGTGGAGGACACCCCTTTTCTCTGGCCTCGTCCCCAGGGAACAGGGTAGAGGGTAGAAGGGACAGGCTACACCCACCATGGACACTGGGAGGCCAGGGCTGGGGTGCCGGGGCACCCTTAGTGTCTGAGCTGACAGGACGAGTCAGTTGTCCTTTATAGTTAGGGAGACGGGCTGAGGGGGGCTCTAGACTTTTCAAGCCTGGAATGAAGAAAGTGCTGGAAGGCGGGGTCAGGCTGAGAGGACCAGCCTAAGGCAGGGAGTTTGGCGGCCTCCAAGTCCCAGTCTCTGGAGGCAGAGCTGCCTGGGCCTTAAATATGCCTGCAGGACAGTGGCTGGGCCTCGCCCGGTCTCCCCAGCAGGGGCTGGGTGAACAGGGCAGAACAGGCAGGGGCTTCTTCATGGCGAGAGCAGCAGCTGGATGAGCTTCCGGAACTCCTCCCGGTGCTCGTAGATGTAGACCTCGGTCTCCCAGAGGGCATTGACCAGTACTGTGTCGCTGACCTCGTCCAGCATGATGTCTGTCCCCAGCTGGGGGTTCAATCTGTCTGGGCCACAGAGGAGGGGTCACCCTAGGATGCTCATTCTGGGTAGGGGAGGAGGGCTAGGACTGGAGTGGGCCTAGGGAACAGAGCAGCCCCTTGGGGAAAGGACCCATCTATGCCAAGGACTTAGGAAGGGGGCACAGATCAATGGGTCCGACCAGGCCAGGGTGTGGGTTGGGGCCGGGGCGGCCGAGCCCTTACCTGAAGTACTGGATGTCGACCATCTCACACCAGGCCCGGGCACGGTCCACAGCCCGCCCGTCCGGATCCGTGCACTGGCGAGAAGCAGCCTCGGTGAGCACCAGCCTATGCCACCCAGGCGCTGCCTCGGTGTCCCAGAGCCCACCCCAACCCCAGCATCCCCAGCTTCCTTCGAGGCAGGCTTAGCCACCCACCAGCAGAGTGGCTTTGGGCAAGGCCCCCTCCTGGGATTGCAGGCTGTCCCAGCTGTGCAATCAGGGATCTCAGTAGAGCCCGTTCGGGACAGGTGAGTGGTGGTAGGGACAGTGGCTGAGTGGACAGGCCTCCATGTCCCTCCCAACTGGAGTTTCTGTCCCTCTTCTAGCCTAGGCTTCCCTACTATGCTGTGTTTGCAGAAAGGGATCCACAGCTAAAAAGTGTCTGAAACCCCCTGGTGGCCACTGAGGGTCCCTACCCAGCACCGAGACTTGGAATCAGGGATTCTCTCTCCAGCTGGCAAGAGGATGGACAGAGCCCTGTGGTCTCCCCAACATCAAGGGCCCCTCAGATGCAGGCAAAGACCCTGAGAGAAGTGGCCTGGGAGAGGGGCCCACACTCACACAGTCCACCACCATCTTGCCCAGTTCCTTGGCCCCAAAAACAGTCTTGGCTAGTTCCCAGGGGTTGCTGGGTCGGAACACATCCACACAGGTCACAGGCACCTGTGGGGACTTCCCTGTGCCCAGAGAGACAACGATGGAGAGTTTCTTCACCTTGTCACCCTGGCCCTGTTGGAAACAGGACAGGGGTAGTCAGAGGGGACCTTCCACAGGTGGGGCATTAGGAGATAGTCAGAGAGAGGCCCAAGGCTGGGCTCTGGGGACAGGGGAAGAGGCCTCTAGTGGCAAGAGCACCCCTAGCATGAATCCCTGCCCAGCCCCTTGCAGTAGAGGTCTGGGCTGGCCCTTGAGCTGCAGCCCCCTCCTCCAGAAGGGCTGGTGCAGGTGTCACGTGCCATATGCTTGGGAAAGCACCTTGTGTACCAACAAGGACAACATGTACACCAGCTGTGAGAATGCCCCCTATGCCCCCCTGCTGCTGGCCCAGGTCAAGATAGTAGCCAGGGGAGGAAAGGGAGAGGACTTGGTTTCTGTCATCTGCCAGCTGTTTGCCTCACTACCTCATTTGACCTCCAGTGGAGAAGGTATTGATTACCCCACTTCACAAATGGGGACTCAGCGAAGCCTGGAAGGGGGAAGAGGCCTGCCTGGGCCACACGGAGGGAAGGGGAGGTTGAGGCTTGAACCTAGGGTTCTGGGTGCTACCTGTCTCGTTTTCTCAGGAATAAGCTCTGCTGCAATCTTCTGGGTGACCTTGGGTGAGTACTCCCCACTGTGGGTCCTAGGATCCCCATCCACACCAGCAGATGACTTGGGCGGTGGCTGGGAGCCCTCCCGTGTGAGTCTCTGATGCCTTTGGGAAGCCCTGCCAGGTCTGGCCCCTAGAGGGCGCTCCCCTCTCCCACGGCCTGGAGCTTCTGCCGCACCACCCAGGACTGTACTGAGGCTTCTGGAAAACCACAGCAGCAAGGGCCAAGCACTGTTCTAAGCGTTTTTAATGGGTAAGAGCTCATCGCATCCTCGCAACAACCCCACCCAACAGCTGCAGTAGACGGGCAGAAGCAGGGCCCAAAAGCTCATTCACTGCCCCACTCTGCCTCCTCAAGCATGCAGGCCTGCTGCCTCTGCTCCAAGGTGCAGGCTGTGTCTCTTCCCAGATTGCTGATCTGCGCTGCCCTGTGCCCAAATGCCTCAGGTTGGGGTCCCCTCCTCCGTGGAGCCTTTTCTGAGCCTGGGCCTCTTAGCCAAGGTGCTTCTTTTCCTGGGCCCCTGCACAGTCCTCCATCACAGCACCACGTCTAAGGGGCGTGTCCTTGTTCGTGGACTGTCTGCATCAGATGCGATCATCCAGGGCAAGTGTTGTGTCCCCAGGCCAGTGTGCATGCCGCCCTCCTCACGGACTGCAGACAGTGCAGACTGTGCCTCAGAATCCCTCTTAGCACAGTGCTTCAGGCAGACACCACCCATCAAATAGGTTCAAGTGTGAGATTAAGTTGTCGTTGAGTGCATAAGGGAATGAAGGCATGATAAAGCCATCTGCTGTCCTGGGAGTTGGTCCCTAGTAAGGATTGCTGAACAGCGAGCCTTCCTTCTGGGCCCTGCCGACCTGGGACAGCGCTCACCTTGCGGATCATGTCCTGGTTGTACTCGTGGATTTCGGTCATGGCGTCCAGTGTGGGGTTGTTGGCCAGCAGCCCGCCATCCAGGAAGCGCCCGTTGGGTCGGAAGTAGGTGGGGGCTGCCCCACTGCTTCGGGCTGCCCGCCACACCAGCTGGTCTGGAAGTGCGGAAGGAGGGTGGCCCAGTGGCACAAGGGCCTAGTACAAAACCCACATGCTTCAGTGCATGTGCGGGTGCGTGGAGGGGGCTGCTGGAGGAGGAGGAGGCTGGGAATGTTCAGAAGCTGGACCCACAAGGCCATGTTGCCTGGCCCCGCCATTTTGGTGAAAGGCAGGCTGTGGCTGAGGGCCTCCTGGGGCTTCCTCCAGCCTGCCCGAGGCAGGGCAGCTCCTCAGCCAACAGAGACCAGGGCAGCAGGTGGGCAGGTGGCGGGGTGAGGGTACCTGATGGCAGGGGTATGGCTCCCATCCCCCACCCTTTCCATGGATGCATCAGACACGGCTTTAACCTGAAGGCTGAGTCAGAGGCTTCAGGTTAATATTCTGGTTGAATCGAGGTTCCCGTACTGTCTCCGGAGCATCATAATTCCGGAAGAGGTGGAGTTCAGCTGGCTGCCGGTCAGACAGTGTCCCCGTCAGCATCACCCTGAAGAAAAACAGGGAAGAAGGACAGTGACCCATTCATCAATTCCTTTTCCTCTTGCCTGACATTCACACCCCAGACCCCAGATAGCAGAATCCCTACTCCTACCTCTGTTTTAGATGGGTGGGCTTCCCCCCACTATCCTCCCCAAAACAGGCTCTCTCCTACAGTGCTGGAGAGTGTCAGATTGGTCCAACCTCGGGAGGGCAATTTGGCAAAAGTTCGTTTCTTGAAAGGCAAATACAACTGAAAAACCTGTGGCGGGACTGATAAAAGAAGAGACTACAGAGTCAGGAATGAAATAGGCGCCATCACAACAGAAGCTGCAGACATGAGAAAGAAGATAATATTTTGAACAAGTCTATGTCAATAAATTTGAAGATTTTGATAAAATGGACACATTCCTAGAAAAACATAACTCAAAAAGTCATTTAGAAACCCTGGATAGTCTTATAACCATTAAATAAATTAATTCCATTATCAAAAATCTTCCCACCATGCTTTTGCACTGTTGGTGGGAGTGTAAACTAGGTCAACCTCGGTGGAAAACAGTGTGGTGATTTCTAAAAGATCTAAAAATCGACCTTCCACATGATATAGCAATCCCCCTTCTGGGAATATACCCAGAGGAACTAAAATCATTCTACAAAAAGATACCTGTGCACACATATTTATTGCAGCACTATTCACAATAGCAAAACATGGAACCAACCATGCTGCCCCTCACAAGTAGACTGGATTAAAAAAAAAAGTGGTACATATACATGATGGAATATTATGCAACTATAAAGAAGTAGAAAATTATGGACTTTGCAGCAACTTGGATGGATTTAGAGTCCATCATACTCAGTAATCTATCAAAGAAACAAAGAACTGAGTACTACATGTTCTCATTCATAAGTGGACCCTGAACATTTATCATAATACTACATGAAAGGGATTGGCAGTAGTGGCTCACTGGGCGGGGGGACACATAACATTAATAAAGGTACCTGATCCCAAACCAGGTGAAGTGAGGACCACTGGGAGGCCTAAACTTCACCCGTACAATAACCACTTATGTACCTAACCATAAATTGTAGCCCACATCTTTAAAACAAAAAAGACCAGGCTCGGTGGCTCAGCCTGTAAACCCAGCACTTTGGGAGGCCGAGGCGAGTGGATTGCCTGAGCAAGAAAAAGAGAAAATAATTCCTCAAAATCCCATGCAAAAAAAAACAGGTCAAGCTCACCCATGAATATGAATGCAAAAATCTTAACAAAAATATCAGCAAACTGAATTTATCAGCATTATCTTTAGAGAAGGCACCAGTAATAGCAAGCAGGGTTTCAAACAAGTATTTGCACACCAATGTTCACAGCAGCATTACTCACAATAGCTAAAATTGGAAGCAACCCAAGTATCCATCAGTGGATAAATGGATAAGCAAAATGTGGCATATATATATATATATAAAAGGAAGGGAATCGTGACATATGCTACAACATGGATGAACCTTGAAAACACTATACTAGCTGGGCTTGGTGGCTCAGCCTGTAATCCCGTGCCTTTGGGAGGCTGAGGGGAGTGGATTGCCTGAGCCCATGGTTCGAGACTCCCCTGGGCAACTTGGCAAGACCTCATCTCTACAATAAATCAAAAAATTAGAGCCAGGCTTGGTGGCTCAGCCTGTAATCCCGTGCTTTGGGAGGCTGAGGTGAGTGGATTGCCTGGGCCCGTGGGTTCGAGACCCATCTGGGCAATTTGGCGAGAGCTCATCTCTACAATTAAAAAAAAAAAAATTAGCCGGGCGTAGTAGCGCGCGCCTGTAGTTCCAGCTACTCGGAAGGCTGAGGCAGAAGGCTCGTCAGAGCCCAGCAGGTCGAGGTTGTGGTGGCTGGGAGCGTGCCACTGCCCTCCAGCCTGGGCGACAGAGTAAGACTCCAACTCAAAAAAAAAAAAAAAAAAAAGAAAACACTACACTAAGTGAAATAAGTCAGTCACCAAAGGACTATATGATTCCATTTATATAAGGTACTGTGAAAAGGCAAAATTGCAACACATTTAGCCTAAAGATGTTAAAAGGCTTTTATTCATGATTCAAGAATAGGACAGCCCTCAGAACCAGCACAGGTTCAACAAAACTCTGGTGGGCTGGGCACGGTGGCTCATGCCCGTAATCTCAGCACTTAGGGAGGCCGAGGTGAGAGGGATGCCTGAGTTCAGGAGTTTGAGATCAGCCTGGGTAACATAGCAACACCTTATCTCCACAGAAAAAAAAAATTAGCCAGGTGTGGTGGTGCACACCTTGTTGTCCCAGCTACTCAGGAGGCTGAGGCATAGGGATCACTTGAGCCCAGAAGGTTGATACTGCAATGAGCCAAGAATGTGCCACTGCACTCTAGCGTGGGTGACAGAGTGAGACTCTGACTCAAAACAAACAAAAACAGAAATTTTCCAGCCTGTGGCGTGGTCAGGCAGTATTTATGAACAGAAAACCAAAGAGGTGTAGAGCTTAACTGGTTTGCCCTATTTGAATGTTAGCCATCTATGAGTAACTAAAGCTCAGCTGTTGTAACTAACTGAAATTCAGCTACCACTGTACATGAGTAGACTCATAATTTAACTAGTTTCACTTAGCATAAACAGTTCCATATTGGTTTGGTCTGTTGAGTCCAGTACGAGAGCCTATGCTAAATTCATGGTCTCCTACAGATTTTATTTAAAAGTACCTATAGTAGTTGAACTCATAGAATGGAAAGCAAGATAATGGTTATCAGGGGACTTGGGGGAAGAGAGAATTTTCTTAATGGGTTTCAGGTTTGCAAGATGAAAAATTTCTGGAGACTGGTTGTGCAATAATGTGAATATACTTAGCACCATTAAACTTATACTTAAAAAAAGGTTAGAACGGTAAATATGTTATACGTATTTTAACACAATTAAAATGTGTAAATAAGTAAACAGTATTTCTAAATACCAATAAAAGTTAGAAAATGAAATATTTAAAAATATATAATCTGGCTGGGCTTGGTGGCTCAGCCTATAATCCCAGCACTTTGGGAAGCCAACGTCAGTGGACTGCTTGAGCCTGCAGGTTCGAGACTAGCCCAGACAACTGGTAAGACCTTGTCTCTACAATAAATAAATAAAAATTATCCAGGTGTGGTAGCACGTGCCTGTAGTTCCAACCACTCGGAAGGCTGAGGCGTAAGGATCGCTGGACCCCAGCAGGTCGATGCTGGGGTGGCCATCTGTGTGCCACTGCACTCTGGCCTGGGTGACAGAGTAAGACTCCAACTCAAAAAAAAAAAAAAAAAAAAAATATATATATATATAATCTGCAAGAGCACAAAACATATGATGTGTCTAAAAATAAGCATAACAGATATGTAAGATCTGTAGATAAAATGATAAAACTGTATTGAGAAACTTTAAACAAATGAAATGTTTTACTACATTCTATAATTAGAAACACTAATGTTTGCAGCTGTCAATTCTCCAAATAAGCATACAGATACAATGTAATCTCAATCGAAATCCCAACAGAATTTGATTATCTGAATTTGACAATCTGATTCTACAATTTATACAGAAGAAGAAACAGCAGCAACTAACACTATGCAACACTTCCTTGTGCCAGGTGTTCTTTGAAGTGCTTTACAAATATTAACCCTTTTATTAAACCACATGAAAATCCTATGAGGCAGTAGTATATTATTTCTACTTCAGGGTCTGTGCTCTAACCACTTGTCTATACTGCCCCCAAGAACAGTCATGACACTCCTGAAGAAGGACAAGGGGGAGGACCTGCCACTCCAGGCACCAAGACTCATCATAAAGGACTTCTCATTCAGACTCTGTCGTCTGGGCTCAGGGACAGTCACCCAGCCAACACAACAGAACAGTTTGCAGGAGGTCCAAGTACAGAGGGGAAGCCAAGCCATGAATTCTGCAGGTGTGCAGGGAAGGACAGACTTCCTCACAGATGGGCCTGAGAAAACCGGGAGATTGTGTGGAAAACACTCAGTTGGATCCCTGACTTCACCAAGTATAAAAATCAATTCCAGGCTGATAAGCGACCGAAACATAAAAGGCAGATCTAGGGAGCCTGCCAACTTGACACAGGAGAACAGTGTGCTGCCTCGGGGACCAAAGGTTCTTCAATGAGACAAGAAAAGTGCAAACTAGAAAAAGAAAAATATTTCTCAATTCTACTATATTAAGAACATGAGTTCATCAAAAAACACCACAAAGAGAGAAAAAAGACAAGCTACAGGGTGAGAGAAAATATTTCAAATCCAAACATTCATCTAAGGACTCGCTTCCAAAATACAAGATCATGGGAAATACTCAAAACCTCCCTCATGTGACACACCCGCATCCAGCCGCGAATGGGTGACATCCCCTAGGCCTGGGATGACCCGTCTGGGGCCCGGGCCTCCCAGGCAAACGTTTCCTGGAAATGAGACTTGAGCCCCTAGCCTGACTCAAATAGTTCAAGCCCACAGGCCCTCACTTAAAGGCAGAGCTGAAGCCATCTGACGATCATTCTATTAGCCCAAACACGGAAGCAAGTGCTGTTTGAGATGTAAGAAGGTGACTAGCCACGTCATTTGAGAGGTCAGAGGGTTCCTTTGACCTGTGCAGCAAATACCAAGCCTCTGCCCAGGTGGCCTTAGAAGGGTGGCCCAGGCAGCCCCAGGCCCTTCTAGGTGAGGCAGAGCCAGGCCCACTAGGCCACACCCTTCCTCTGCTCTCAGGGCACTTCTGTGTGCCTGAAAGCCACAACTCTGCCTTCTGGCTCCCTGCAGGGCAGGGGTCTCTCTGCTCCCTCAAGGGGAGGACGGGAGCCTCTCTCGCCAGGAAACAGCCACACACTCCAGCTGGGGGACTTACTTCGGTTTCTTGACGTCTGTCATCTTGGTGTGCTCCCCAAACTCTCGCTTCAGGAACTCCTCCAGGGGCCCCGACTCATAGGGCCTCGAGCCCCGGAACACCTCGTCCTTCATGCGGAAGTACACGCCACGCATGTAGGCCATGGATTTACCTAGGAGCAAGGGGGTCAGAGATGCGAGGCACGAGGGCCACACACAGGACTCCTGTGGGAACAGGACACCCTGACAGAGGCCCTGAGCACAGGCCAGCAGCTGGCGGGAGGCAGCAGCAGGAGAGGGGTGCCTTGACCCCGGGGCTAAGCAAGCTTAGACTTCTGGGCTCCTCCTTTGCAATGTTCCACACAGGCAGAAATTCCCCCTCAGCAGCCCCAAGCCGCTGTAACTAATTTTGTTTTCATAATTTTGCATTACTGTCCTCAAAGAGGGGCCTTAAAAGTGTAAAAGTTTATAAGCTAGACCTACCCTGTTTTTCACAGAAAAGAAGGAACAGCCCTGTCCTCTGAGCCTCCAGAACAGAGAGGACCAAGAGGCAGGCTGCACCTCGTGGGAAGAAGCAGCTGCCCCATTTGCCTCATGAGGCAGTGAGTTCCCCGGGCCAGGGGTATGCAAGCGGAGGGGTGGCTGAAAGGAAGACCTGCGCCCATGTGAGAGGCTCAATCAGGTGACTTCTCAAATCCTTTCCATTGCCACCCTCCTGAAAAAGGAAGTGACCCTTTCTGGAGGAGAGTCTAGGACTCTGCCCAACTGGACTCTGATTGGAGAGCCAGTCCTGACTGCCCAACTCACTAAGTGACCCTTTCTGGTCCTCAGTTTCCCTGTCTGCTCACCTCACAGGGCTATGGTGAGAATCATCAAAACAAAATGATATAGTCGTCAATAAACTGCTATGGACAACAGAGTCCTGAGCAACTTAACAACGGACAATCCTTCTCTTCCCAGAGTCCCACAGGAGGGAAGTGCATGCAGAAGCCTTCTGGGCCAGCCGCACATCTGCAGCCCCTGAACTGGCTGGCCATGGCCTCCTCACATAGCCCAACAAACTCCAGAGGCCTGTGTCCCCATGAGATCAGGATGTGCACTTCTGCGTCCCCAGCACTCAGCACAGGCCTGGCCACAGGCCCTTATACCCCTGGTGTGGTGGGTCCTCCCTGGCGCCTCCAGAGCTTTGCATCACCAGGATCCAGATGTGGAAGGCACTTTGGAGAAAATGGAACAGCACGGGGCAGGGGCTGAAGCTAGGGGTGTTGAGTCTGAGGATCAGGCCTAGGGTAGGGTGGGCTGGACCCTGAGGAGCCTGATCTGGGAGTGCCCCTTCCAGTCAGTTCCACAGAGCAGCCGTTTTGATGCTGGTCAGCCAAGTGTCTGTCATCTCTGCAAAGCTGCAGTGACAGGAGGTCGCATCAATGGCCCGTGACGTGGGAAGTGCCAGGCTGGGAGTCTAGGGACCACGCTCAGCCAAGCAGCCCCAGGTTATGTGACGTCGGGTCACCCCTCCTTGCCTGGGCCTTAATTTCCCTGTGTGTAAGATGAAGTTGCAGACTAGGGCTCTGGCATTCTGTGACTCAGCGGCTCCTCATTCCCACGGGTGCCTGCTGCGTCCATCATGAGAATGGACTTTCTTATTTGCAGCAGGCAGTGTGGCCCTCAGTGCCTGCAGGTGTGAAGAGGGGGGGTGGGGCAGTTAACATAAAAATGCTTCCTCCACCGGACATTTGCACCTGTTCTGACCTCTGTGGCTGGGGGATGGTGTGGCCCAGCTCTCTCCTTCTAGCCTGGGACCCCCACACCAGCAGCACCCTCCACAAAAGGCTCACAGGCCCTCCTCTACCCATGGCCCTCTTTTTTGCAAAGCTCTGAAAATGAACTCAGCAGATCTAGACCCTGCAGGGCCCCACCGACCAGGGGGCGGCCCTCACTGTGCAGAATGGCCAGGGCCAGGATGCCCCCGGTGCTGGTCCCCGCCACCCAGTCAAAGAGGTCCTTGGTGGCCACGCCCGAGGCCTTCTCGATGGCGATGAGGAGCTGAATGATGACGAGGCCTTTCACACCCCCTCCGTCCAGGCAGAGCAGGTGGTCATAGCTGCAGAGGGAGAGACGGGGTCCTGTCACAGGCCGGCACTTGACTCCCACACTCTCAACCCTCGTCCCCTGAGCAGCTGCACCCAGCGGACGGACTCTTCTGTGCTATTGGGTGGGGGGGGGGGGGGTGAAGGCAGTAATGGAATAAATGTCTAGCGTTTCAGGGTGTGGAACGAGCCATGGAGAAATGGAAGAGGCGGTGGCCGGGGACAGCCTCATTGACCAGGTGCCACTTCAGCAGACACCGAGTCAGTCTCCCATGCTCTGGGCAGGGAGCTCCCTGTGACTCAGTTTGGGCTAGGACTAGGCCTGACACAAACACACCCCTGGTGAGAGTCTGTTGGAATTTAATCGGGCTGGAGGAGGAGGGGCTGGAACCTCCACAGCCAGGCCAAAATGGTGGGGAGGGGGTGTCAGGGCCCACCACGCAGCACAGGAGAAGCACAGCAGGAGGGGGCAGGGAGCAAGGAAGTTCAATGTGCCAGGGCTGGGGGAGGGTGTCACCAGCATGATCTTGCGTCAGCGTCCCAAACCCCTTAGAGGCAGACTCTCCCTGACATCCCTGTCATTTTTTTTTTTTTGAGTCAGAGTCTCACTCTGTTGCCCAGGTTGGAGTGCAGGGCACGCTCACGGCCACCGCAGCCTCAGGCAATCCTTCTGCCTCAGCCTCCCAAGTAGCTGGAACTACAGACATGTGCCACCATGCCCAGCTAATTTTTTTTTAATTGTAGAGATGAGGGCCAACAAAGTTACCTAGGCTGGTCTCGAACCCGTGGGCTCAAGCAATCCTCTCATCTCGGCCTCCCAAAGTCACATTTTTGAATGAAGGAATGAAGCTCAGAGGTCAGGTGACTGGCACGAAGTCACACAAGTGGGGGCTGGACTGGACCTGGCCACTGCCACCTGAGTCCACAGGTCCCCACGCTCCCCACGTTCTGCCCAGCCCAGCCCCCAAGGCTAGGGCTTGCCTCTGTGTTCAGCGTGGCCCAGAACCTTTCTCTGGTCATCTCATTCTTCCATCTCAGTTTGAATGTCACTGCTGGGGAGCAGCCTGCCCTAATGCCTCCGGGACCCTCAGCATGGCCTGCCGGGCTCTCTACCCACCTCCTTCCACTCCATGGCCATCTTTCTGTTCTATTTACTCTCCTTCTCTCCCACTTGCCTGGAAGCTCCCTGAGGGCAGGGTCCGGCTCTGCTCTGAGCTGCACTGCGAGCACAGGAAGCACCCAACACAGAGCTGGCCAATGGAGGAGCCGGTGTATCCCACCTCCAGGGGTCTTTCTCTGGACGAGGTGCCCTGTCCCAGAGCAAGCCCGGAGATGGGGGGGCTTAAGCAAATAAGCAAGACCCTCTTGGAGATGCAGGGCGGGCGACAGAAACATCAACTCCAGGGGGCAGTGCTGAGCTCTGTGGCTCACAAGACACATGGGAAGCCTCCCCCAGGGACCTCCTGACTCGCCTCAACCCCAGCTCCAAGGAGGGCTCAGGCTTGCACAGCCCCCGGTCCACGAAAAATCCTGCTGCGTCTCCTCTGGCTGAGAAATGTCGGTCCTGCCTCCCACGCAGCAGCTGCCTTAACTCCACCCCTGCACAGGTGTGTGGGTGCCTGGGGACACATGTGCATGTGTGGGAGGGAAGGGCGAGGATGCTGATGGGGCAGGTGCCCCTCCAGGCACATATTAGTGACCACAGAAGTGAGTGAAGCACAGCAAGGGGACACGCCAAGGGAACAATGACCCCTCAGGTGAAGAGGGGCAGAGTCACGTGATATGGCTGCCTGGCCCTGGAAGCAGGGGCTGCACCTGATTATAAGAGAACAGAGCTTTTCCTGCAGGAAACCTTTCCCTGAGAGGTTAAGTGACTTGCTTGAGTTACAGTGAGTGTCAGGGTGGCGACTTACACCCAGGTCTTCTGAATCTGTGCCCTTCCTGCTACCCCAGACTCTCTCTGGCCCTGTACCTATCACCTGCCTCCTACAGTGGGCCTGAGTATACAGCAGGTGCTCGAGAAGGCATCCTACTACACTAGTCTGCGGAGGGAAGAGGGGAAGGAAGTCAAGTAGGAGCAGCAGGAAGCAGTCGCTGAGACCTCTCTCCAAAGGGGATCTGGGCCATCTCCCACTCCTCAACCCACAGGCGGCCAGGGCAGGAAACAACTGCGCCAGCCCCACCACCTCCACGTGCACGACCCTGTGGCGGTCCCCCAAGCCTGCACTGCCTGGCATGAAGGAACAAGATCATGCAGGCTCTTTATACTCTCTAGACTCGATCTCTGCTGCAAACGACAGAAGAACTAGAAGAGTTCCCTTGCAGGCCGTGGTGGGACAGGGAGAAAAGTCCCAGCCCCTTGGGGGGCACCAGCAAAGGCTGTGTACCCAGGGCCCCTGCCCATGCTCCACTCACGTGCGTGTCTCGTTCCTCATGGAGCTCAGGATGAATGCTGGCTTCCGGGCACGGGAGATATGCACGAGGTCCTGCAACGCTGGGGGCACAGGTAGGGCATGCTGGGGCCAGGCAGGTCTCTGAGCTCCGCCATCCCATAGGTCCCTAGCTGGAGCTGCACCCCACTCCTCTACCCCTACATCTGCCTGCTGCCCCAGGAAGGGTTCTTAATTCCTGGATAGAGCTGAGCCAGAGGCCACAGGCCAGTGGGGAGAAACAGCCTGGAGTGGAGAGGGGAGCCCACCCTATCCAGTCAGCTTCCAGATCCCTCTCAATGTCTTCCTCCTGAACCCCCGAAGCATGAGCAGCCCTGGTATCTCCTGGTCTTCAGTTCACCAAGTGCTTCTTTTCCTTTGTTCCTTTATTTTTATTTTTTGAATCAAGGGTCTTGCTCTTTTGCCCAGCCTGGAGTGCAGTGGCACAATTACGTCTCACCTCAGCCTCAACCTCCTGGACTCAGGCGATCCTTCTGCTTCAACCTCCCAAGTAGCTGGGACTATAGGCGTGCGCCACAATGCCTAGCTTGTTTGTTTGTTTGTCTATCTATCTATCTATCTATTTATTTGAGACAAGATCTTGCTATGTTGCCTAGGCTGGTCTCAAGCTCCTGGGTTCAAGCAATCCTCTTGCCTCTGCCTCTCAACAGGCACAAACCACCGTGCCCAACCTGTCCCAACCTGAATAGAATAAGAATTCTTATTCCTAGTTTGCAGGTGAGGCTCAAGGAGGTCCCACGACTCAGCCAAGGTCATCTGGCCAAAAGGGCTGAGTCAGGAAGCTCCTCTGGATTTAACTCCATGAGTGAAGGGAGAGATCCCAGCCACACTTCAGGCAGCCCTTGTCCTAACCCCAGGTCTGGAACTCCCCAGTAGCCTCCGGGATCAGCCCCACCACCCACTCCATCCATGTCTTGCCCTGTGCCCACATCCCACCCTATGCCCATGCCCGCCCGATTAACTAGCTGCCCCTCCTGACAAGCAGCCCAGCCCCCAGGGGCCTGGCACAGCGGCCTGAGTGACCCTGTCTCTTTCAGGCCTTCCCACCCCTGTGCAGGGTCCAGAAGCAGCAAAGCGGGAAGGCAGGCTGCAGAGAGGTTTCCCCCTCACCAGGGCAAGTGGCTGTACAATGAACAAGCAGAGCAGGAGAGTGGCCAGGAGAGGCAGGGACAGGGCTCCAGGGAGAGGGCAGCGGGAAGAGTGCATGTGTTGGGGTGCAGCTGAGCAAGAGGACGAGGGGTAACAAGAGCTACAGCTAACAGGGCATGGCTGGGCTCTGCAGGCCCTCTAGGGCCAGGGCGTTACCCATCGGATGCTGTGCCCCAGGCCCACCATCTGGCCTGGCTTGGGAGACTGACTGCCTGTGAAATTGAGAGATAAAGACAGGAGGTGGAGGGGCAGTTTCCAGAGGGAAGACGGAGGTAGAGCCACTGCGCTACCTCTCCTGAACCCCAGGCCTGGCTGGGCTACACTGGCTGGAGGTGCTGCTGTCTGCTCCCTTGGCAGTTAAAACAGAAGTCTGGCTGACCAAGGATTAGCTCTTGGCTGTCCTCTGTCCAGGGACCCCACTCCCAGACAATCAAAGCTCCAGGCGGGCCGAACAACAGAAAGCCCAGAGAACGGTCCATGTCTCCTCTGGGTTGTCTCCCTGGGCACCAAGGATACGCTGGGGCAGGTACTGATTGCCTGGCCACATCCAAAGGCAGAAAGTCACCACAGGAGACTGGAGGGGGGCACAAGGGTCACAGGCCTGACCAAGATTCAAACAGTGTGACAGAGGTGCAGCCCGAGGGCTGGGGCTCCAGGCCCCCAACAGCGCTCCTTGCTGCCCACCCTGAGCTCCCAGGAGACAAAGAGGCAATGAGCACCCACCTCACGGCCGCCACTCAAATGCCCAGGCCTAAGACCATGTCCAGGGCATCCTCTCTGGGGTGATGGGCCATGGGACATCAGCCAGGGACCCCTAGGCTCTGGGACTATGGTAACTGGCTGCAAAGACTAATGAATCTGGCCCCACCCTCCCTTCTCCCTTCGGCGACTTCCCTCCTGGGGCCCCGCTGCTGCTCTCCCTGCTGCTGCTCTCTAAGCCGTTCTGCTCTGATCCCAGGGCCCGAACTGCTGGGGGGGAGGGGCTGTGGGCGGGAAGGGCAAGGCCTACCTAGGCTGTTTAGGCTGACCGGTGGGGCCTGGGCTCTTTCCAGAGAGAAGAAGGGACGATGTGATGAGGCAGAGCCCTGCTCGGTGGGGACCCCTTGGAAGTGTGAGAAGTGGTATTCAGCCCCCACGGTTCTCAGCAGAGTCAAGAACGCCCTCCTGGTGACAACTTGCCATGGTTTGGAGAAGGGGAGACCACAAAGGATCAGAAACGGTGTCAGCCTGTAGGGGAGAGGCCCCTCCTTTCTATGCTCACCCCCAACCTGTCTGATCTGTCAGGCTACCTGGGCATGGGGGAACCAGGGGTGCCTGACAGGGTATGCTGACTCCAGTCTGTTATATCCCAAGCAGCTTCCTGGGGCCAGGAAAGGTGCTGGGACTGACCACAGGATATGGAGGAGGTCAGTGTCGCCTGCACCATGACTGTGGGAACCCCTTCTTTCCTTCTACTCTGGCCAAGAAAGCAGGGCTCCCACCGCCACGTTGAGCGATTCTCAAAAATGCTGAGTGGGTAGTTCCCTGGAGGGTTTGAAAGGGACTAACCAGCCAGCCAGTGGGCACTTGCTCCATGTAATGAATGGGATACCTGAAAAGGATGCCACAAGAAGCAGCACATGCATACATGTGTGCATGTGCACCCCCCACCACGGGTCTATCAGGTACACAGCCACAGACACCTCCATAGTTCCCTGAACCTTCCAGAGGGGGCTCCAGGCTTCCAGGAAGGAGAATCAGCTTTTTTCAGCTCTGAAGCCAAGGCTCACCGGATGAGCGTGCAGCGCATGCACACTTGTGGGTGTGTACAAGACCAGGCACACATGCTTGTGTCCATAAGGGCATGCATGGACAGGGGTTGCACAGCGCAGTGCATGCTCCAACCACATGGTTGTTCTAGCACGTGGTTCCATCAGTGAATTCTCCAACAGTGTGGGTAGAGGGTGGCTGCTGTCTATCCATTCCCACCCCCGCCAGGAGTCTTAACACCCTGAGGTGGGATGGGAGCTGCAAGGAAGAGGACACTGGCTTGGCAAGCTTGATGAGCCTGCATCACTGTCTGAGCCCCTGTTCTTGGAGAAAGGAAGCTCTCTCTGAGTGCCAGGTGCTCCTGACCAGGCTGCGCAGGGAGCAGCTGGGGGTGGGTCAGCCCAGGACATTGGCACCTGATGGCTGGGTCTTCCCTTCTCCTCAGTCCCTGCACCCACCCCATCCCCCGACTCTGGCCCCAGAGTACAGAGCACATACGTTTGCTGATCTTGGAGGCTAAGGATGTAGGAGTCTCCCCAAAGTCATTCGGGGCGTCCACCTCTGCCCCGAACACAATGAGGGCCTTGACCATCTCCACGTTGTCTTTCTGTTGGAGATGGAGCGAGCAGAAGATATGCAACAGCTCAGAAAAGTGAAAAGGACCTAGACTCACTGTCCCTACCTGTCAGCTAACTGTAGGCCTCTCAGCAGCACGAGGAGAGACACTAGAACCCTCCTGACTCCCACCTCCAGTCCATCTGGCAGTCCAAAATCTGGCAGGTGCAGGCTGGTGCCCTGACAAATGGGTTTAAAAGCATCCCCAGGTGAGGGTGCAAGAACCCAGGCAGAAACTGGAGGTAACTTGCCCAGCTCTGCCAGCCCTTCCTCAAAGGAAGCAGTGCACCTATGACCCCGTCCAGAGCCACAGGCCAAAGAAGGTCAGCTACCAATAATTTCCAAGAGGAACAGGGAGAGGGTGCGGAGGGCAGGGAAAGATGTCTTGCCCATGCTGTCCAGATTGCCACCCCTGAGGGGAACTGAGCACCCATCCCCCAGTGGCAGCCTCATACACATAAGCACCTGGAGGCTGGGCCAGGGCGGGGCATGGCCTGGCTTCACAGACAAACCAACGGACATGGCCATCTGGAAAGCTGAGCTCTGGTCTTGTCACCTCCCTCTTCCTGGGGCCTGATTTCTCTGTCTAGAGGATGAAAAGTGTCTAAAATGGTGTTTTCCAAGCAATTCTTCAAGTTCCATTATAACTTAAATGGGCACAGCTAATAGGTGTGTTTTCATTATTCATTATGTGTTTCTTTTCTTCTCAGTCTTCCAGGACTACAGGTGGGCACCACCAAGCCTGGGTAATTTTTTTATTTTTTATAGAGACAAGGTCTCTCTAGGTTGCCCAGGCTGTTCTCGAACTCCTGGGCTCAAGCAATCCTCCTGCCTCAGTGTTCCAAGATGCTGGGACTACAGGTGTGAGCCACTACACCTAGCCAAGTTATGTATTTCTTTTTTAGTTGCCTTTTATGGTTGTACTGGATTACCATTATGGTAGTGATACAGAATTTCCTTTAAAGTAAATTTTTGAATGTTTAAAAGTAAGCCAACTTGAATAAGTGAATAGATATGTAATTATAAAGATGGTTGATGAATATGCCCAAAGCTGTGAAGATGGTGAATAGATGACCAAAGTATGAGAACAGAGAATGGCACCAGCACTTCTCAAAGTAAGATCTGGGTGCCTCTGTAAATTCATGAGACGCTCTCAGAGGGCCTGCGAGGTTAAGACTGTTTTTAGAAAAATACCAAGATGTTACCTGCTTACTGTACCATGTGCACTAATGGTGTGAAACCAATGGAGGATAAAATTGTTGGAGCCTCAGCACTAATCAGGACAGTGGCACCAAACTAATAGTGGCATACTTTTCTTCACAGCCACTCACACCCAGTATTTTTGAAAAAGCCAGTTTCACTTAGGAACGCCTTGGTGAAGCCAGGTGTAGTGGCCCATGCCTGTAATCCCAACACTTAAAGAGGCTGAAGCAAAAGGAATGCTTGAGCACAACAGTTTGAGACCAGCCTGGGCTACAGAGCAAGGCCTGTCTCTACAAAAAATTAGCCAGGTGTGGTGGCACATACTTGTATTCTCAGCTACTTGGAAGGCTAAGGTGGAAGGATTGCCTTAGCCTAGGAGGTTGAAGCTGTGGTATGCCATGACTGTGCCACTGCATTCCAGCCTGGGCAACAGAGTAAGACCTGACAACCCACTCCACCCCCCAAAAAAAGAATGCCATGATGAAGCAGTAAGAGTACTCATTTCATAAAACTTTGACATCATAAAATGCAGAGTATGCATAAAACATTTCTGCGGCATGCCAAACTATGATGATCATCTTGAGGAAGAGCACTTGTATGACTGTTTGAGTTACCAGTCAAACTAGCTGTTTTTTTCACCACTTTTACTTGAAAGAATAACTGACAAATTATGATTGTTCAGTATTGGGTATTTACAAGGCATTTTCTCAAAAGTGAACGAATGCCATGAGCCTGTTGCTTCAAGAAAAACAGCTGACAGTTTCTTTGCTAATGATAAAATTCAGGCTTTCAAGAAAAACTTAGAATTTTAGAAAATATGTACATACCATGATGGGCTTGATAGCTTCCCCATATTGAAAGAATTTCTGATGAGATTGGTAGTGATATTTATAAAACTGTGGGGTTTTGATACTATACAATGAAATGGGTCAACATTTGAAAGCTAATGTGACTTCAGTGAACCAGTATTTTCCAAGGATGACACAAAATCATGCATGGGTAAAAGATTCATGCAGAGTAAAAGAGATGCCAGTGGATTTTAATGTAAGAAAGCATGAAAAGTTCACAGAGAGGGTTTCAGAGTGCCCACTGCAACGAACTTGTCTGCGACTATCATGTGGTGAGTTTCGGTGTAATATCAAAGAAGAATACCCGCAATTATCTAAAAGGTACAACCCTGAATCTTTCCCAGCTACATATCTGTGGGAGGTCAGATTTTCTTTGTATTCTTCAACTAAACGACATATTGCAACAGAGTAAATGTAGCAGGGGATATAAGAATCCGTGGCTTTCTGTGAAGTCAGGCATTAAAAAGATTTGCAAAAATGTAAAATGACGCCAACTTGCCTTACTCATTATTTTGTGTTTTGGAGAATAAAGTTGTTTTCAATAAAAAATGTTACTTATGTTAGCAAATGATTAGTTTACTTTTATTATTTACAAATAAAATATTTTGAAACTTCACATTTTAAATTTCTAAAATGGTAAATATAAATAAATAAAATCCTTACAAACAAAAAGTCTTTGGAATCCTCAATAATCTTTCTTTTTCCTTTTTGGTTTTTAGAAAATGGTCTCACTTAGTCACCCTGGTTGGAGTGCAGTGTGATCACAGCTCACTGCAACCTAGTAGAACTCCTGGGTTCAAGTGATCCTCCTGCATAAGCCTCCTGAGTAACTGGGGTTACAGGTATATAACACCATATCCAGACAATTTTTTGAAAATTTTTTTGTAGAAATGGGGTCTTGCTATGTTGCCCAGGTTGGTCTCAAAACTTCTGGCCTCAATGATCCTCCTGCCTCAATCTCCTAAAGCACTGGGATTATGGGCATGAGCCACTGCACCCAGCCCTCAATAATTCTTAAGAGGATAAAGGGACCATTTAGGCCAAAAAACTTGAGAGCTAGTGAACTAGATCCTCCAAGGGCCCGCTCAGTACTAAAAATGCCCATGGTTTTATTTATAATTTCAGCCTCTTGGGCAACAATGTCTCTTCTAAATTATGACCTTTGGTATAAAACAGGATGTCTCTGAATTTGTCCTGAATCTACTTCTTTTAGAGTCTGGGGTCTCTCCTGTTCCATCACTCTGAGACTTGTTAAACAGACTTAGATACATATGGTGTTGGAATGGAACACACACACACACGAACACACACACACACACACACACACACACACACACACACACACACCCCTGTGTCTATAACACAACATCCTCCTCCCTGAGGTTAATATGCCATACTCTAGCTGTCTAACTAGACTGCAGGGGTTTTAAAGGCAGGAACTATGTTCTACAAAAAACCAGCACGTGACCAGCCCCACCACAGTCTGCCCAGCTGGGTGTACTTAGTCTCCCAGGGGAGGTGAGAACATCACACAGGTGGATATGTGTTCCCAGGAACAAAGCAGGGAGCACTAATATTGTAGGGTGCCTGCTCTGTGCCAGGTACTGTGTGTGCCATTTAGACATGCCGCAGAGCGCCCAAGTGTCTACTACCTAATCCTCTCAATAACTCTGCCAGATAGTTATCAATACCACTGTTTTTGAATTGTGAAAATCAAGGCTGACACAGGGCTGTGATGTGCCCTGGGTCATGATCTGCAGCCAGAGCTGTCCTTTTTCTCTTCACACTAGGGAAGCATTGAATGGGGGTGGGCACAAGAGAAAAAGGTACCAGAGCACAGAGGAGATGCTATCTGGGGCTGAGAGGGGGACCTGGAAAGCTTCTTGAGGGAGGAGGCAGGGTCTGAACTGAGCCTTGGAAGGGAATATGATTCTAAGCATCTGAGAGAAGGAGAGAGGCGACACAGAGGCCTGCTCTGGCCTTGACAATCTTCCTGCATCCCCACTGGGGCCCAGCAGAGAGGACGCATGGGTTTCAGGCTCACCGACATGGCCAGGTGCAGCGGGGTGTTGCCGTGCTCGCCGCGGGCTTCGGCGTTGGCGCCGTAGGTCAGCAGCGCCATGACACAGTCGAAACGGTTGCGCATCACTGCCACGTGCAGGGCTGTGTTCCCAGTGGAGCTGGTGCTGTTCACATCGCAGCCCCGTTTCAGCAGCATGCGGGCCATCTGTGGGACACAAGATCCAGGTCTGAGTCACAGGACTCAGGGAGCAGCCGTGGCCTGTGGTACCTAGGCACTGCCACTTGGTCCCTGAGGGGCCTCTGGAAAGTTCTAGCAACAGGAAGAGTCCAGGACGCAGGCCCCAGTTCTGGCAGTGGCCCTCAATGCCATTTCCCATACTATAAGCACCCTAGGAACTAGGGGACAAAAAGCTGAAGATGGGCTGTTTTAAGAGGCTTCCAGTCCATTCCTGGAGCTAACAGGACCCTATCTCCCCTTGCAAAGGCTCCCTTGGACCCTCTCTCAAAGTCCCCCACTCCCTGCATCCCCTTTTGGGATGCTGAAAGATGTCACTCCTCACCAGGCCTTGGCCTCCCTGTTCACTCAGCAGCTCTGGAGAGCCTGGGACCTGGGAGAGAAGCCTGGGCTTTGGAACCAGACACACCTGAGCCCAAGGCCCAGCCCCATTCACCCCATCTGGACTTGGACAGGTCATTGCAGCCCTTTGCACCCCAGGTTTCTCGTCAGTGAAATTGGGGATGCAAGTTCCCACCTCAGAGGGTGATGGCAAAGAATGACAAAACATACATGAAGGGCAGGGCTTGGTGTCCAGCTCCTGGAACACAAAGATACCCTGAGGCTGGGAGTCCCCTCCCTCCACGCTGGGGAGCAGCCATGATCCCTGGGGTGCCCAGGGCACTGCTGAGCTGTGCTTCCTGGTGGTGAGACCAGAGGCCTCCATCCTCCCAAGGGGCGGAACTTGGCTTAGGGAAAGACCACAGAGGAGAAGCCCAGCCAGGCTCTCTGTGGGTGTAGCCAGATCCACCACCACCACCATCATCACACCATCTTCTGTTTGGGAGGCACTTGACAGTTTGTAAGAATTTGTCACACACTACCTTGCTGATGTCACGCTTCCAAAGCAGAATACTCGGATGAAGAAACCGAGGCACGGAGGGGACCTCACCACCTAGCAGTGAGCAGCAGAGCAAGGCCAGGGTCTCAATACTCCATGGGCTTGTCTGCCTCTAGATCCATGAGCTACCAACCCCCAAGTGCCTCCCCAGAGTCCTCCCAGGATCCTTATTCCTGCAGGAGCTGAAGGACAAAGGGCTCTAGGACCCTGCTCCCAGCCCCCACTCAGCCTCAGACCTTCAGACTCTGCCCACCTCTGCATTCTTGGCCCAGTGGAGAGGGCTGGCCCCGTAGCGAGGGTCTTTGCTGTGGATCTGGTTGCTGTCCATGCTTATAATCATTTCAGCGCACCTGGAGAGAGAGGCGAGCAGGGTAGTGAGGAGAGGCTGGATCAGCCTGATACTGCATGAGACTCTGTGAGGCCTTCCTTTGTTGGTTAAGGAGAGCTTCACCTGCAAACATAGTTGCAACACATCCAACCAGCATGCACACCATGGTAAGTCAAGGGTGTACAGAGCCCCTCAAGGCACATCTAACCCTCTCTTCCAGGAAGCCTTCCTAATGACAGCATCTAGCAGTGATCACTCTCCCTGGTGCTGCCTTTAGAGTCAGACGGGTTTAGGTCAAGCTTCAGCTTCCTCACTGGTAACCTCTGGGTGTTGAGCCTGTCTGCAACACGGGGACAGTGCTAACAAGGGTGGCTGGGGATTAAAGGGGACAGGCACTTCAGAGCCTGGTTCTGTGCCTGGCACATAGCCACCTTCCATCTCCCCCCACCCCGCCCTGCACTGTGGGTGTTTCATGCGGTGGTCTTCACCCTGTAGGATGTAGGATGCAGCATGGCAGCATGGGTAAGATTGCAACCACAAAGGACTGAGGGCAGGGACTCCAACTGATATTTGCAGACCACGGACACAGCAGCTTTATTCATAACAGCCAAAAGGTGGAAACAACCAAGTGTCTAACAGTGAGATGAACAGATAAACAAAACATAACGTGTGTGTGTGTACAGAGGTGCCAAAAAATGTATATACATTTTAAGAAAGGAAAAAACTGTATTAAAATTGTAATACTCCATATATACCAATAATAAAAGATGAATACAAGTCACGTTCGACTTCTGCAATTACAAGAGATACTCAAAGTGGTCACCATCAGCATCCAGACACTTCTGATTACAGCAGACTAAAAGTAATACATAGATAACATCTCTTGAAATGTATATACTTTTTTAGCACCCCCGGTATACACACACACACACACACACACACCACATTTTGTCTTTACTTATTTATTTATTTTTGAAAGCAGGATTTATTGAGAGGATAGAAAAGCTCCCACAGTGGGAGGGGACCCAAAGGGGTTGCCCCTACACATTTTGCCTTTAAAAGAATGGAAATTCTGATGCATGGCACAACATGGATGAACCTTGGCGACGTCATGCTAAGTGAAATCAGCCGGACACTAAAGGACAAATGCTGTATGATTCCACTTAGAGGAAGTCTCTAGAATAGGCAAGTTCACAGAGAAAGGAAATAGATTAGGGGTTACCAAGGGCTGGGGAGGGGGAGTGGGGAGTTATTAATGGTTAGAGTTTCTGTCTGTGGTGATAATGAAGTTTTAGAAACAGTGGTGATGGCAGCACAACATTGAGAATGTAACTGCCACTGAATTATGCGCTTATCAGTGGTTAAAATGGCAGACTTTATGTTATTATATTTTACCACAATCTTAAAAATCAGTGTAATAAACACAAACTATTGACTTATACGCTTTAAATAGGTGAATTATACGGTATGTGAATGATATCTCAATAAAGTTGTTTAAAATAAAAGAATGCAGTTACTAGGGACAGCCCACATGGATTTAATTCCCAGTTCCAGTGCCTACTGACTGCCCGGCCTTGGCGAATTACTTAATCTTTCTAAATCTTGGTTTCCTCATCTTTAAAAGGGGAATAATGTACATTGGCTGTTGTGAAATAACCTATATAAAGACCAAGCCCAGGGTGTGTGTGTGTGTGTGTGTGTGTGTGTACAGAGGCAGCTTTAGTGATCAGCTATTCTTACCTATCACTGCTGGTGTCATTCTTCCCCCAAGGGTGGAGAGTGGGACCAGGATTTACACAAGGGCACTAGGCACGTGGAGTTGGACCCAACTTCCTCCCTTGGGCCCTCAGGACCTCCCAGTGTTCACTTCCCAGTGTTCACCCCACACTGCCAGCTCCGGCTATCTCTACAACCTGGCTCAGCCGCTGCTCCCGTGAAGCCTTCCCTGAACCCCAGCTGCCTGGGTGCCCTCTTTGAGCTCCGCATGTAACCCCCATGCATCCTCCATCTCAGACCCCACCTTGCTGTCTAGGATCATCTGTTTCCTCTCCCGGGCAGGGATGTGGTCATCTGAGAGTCCCAGACACAAACGAGACTCTGAGAAAAGTTCAGTTTTAAAAAAACAGCACAGGGGCTCCTGGTCTGAGCTGTGAGGGAGCCCCCAGCAGTAACAATGAACCCGAGCAACTTTCAGGGTACGGCTGCACTGGCCACCATGTAGGAAGGGTCTCCCTGCTGCCCACCCCCTTGCCAAGGTACCAGCCACTCCCTCTATCTTCTGTGTAAAGATCCTCTTGTGCGATCGGACACCAGACTCACCCAGGACGGCCTGGGTGGGGGCAGAGGGAACAGCGGCAGCTAGGGTGTTTGAGGAGGCAGAAACCTGGGCAGTCACCAGGCTCCTGCTCAGTAAATCGCAGGGAGGCTGGAGCCAAGCAAGCATGGGCGTGTGCCAGCCCTCTGGGTGGAAAAGAGCAACACCGTCACTTGGTGTCCTCTCAGGTCACAACTGCAACCAGACAACCCGACTGATGGGGGTGTTGGTATTCTAACCATCTGGTCAAATCTTTCTGAAAGCTCTAGTTCATGTCAGCTGTGCTCAGGAGAAATCAAGGAAAGTAGGGTCTGCCTAAGGTTGGGCCAGACCTTGAAGGGGTAGCAAGGTGGGTGTAGCCGCCAAAGGAAAGAAAACCCCAGAGGCAGGCAAGAATGCCAGCCTCCGGCCAGGTGCCACCCTCTGTACTTTGTCATGGCTTGTCCCACACTGTGCTGTGAGGTATTGGGTGACGAAGTGTCTTCTGTCCTGGAGCTGCCTGGATCAGGGCTCATGGCTTATTTATTCCAGTAAGGCCAGTGCTGAGCATGGTGCCCAGGATCGAGGGACTGACTGGCTCATTCATTCTACATATTGTTCCCACTGGAGAGCGTTTTGAGATATTCCTCTTTTTTTTTTATTTTTTGAGTTGGAGTCTCACTCTGTCGCCCAGACTGGAGTGCAGTGGCCGCTCCCAGCCACCACAGCCTCGACCTGCTGGGCTCCAGCGATCCTTCCGCCTCAGCCTTCCAAGTAGCCGGAATTACATGCATGCGCTACCATGCCCGGCTGATTTTTTTATTTATTGTAGAGATGAGGTCTCGCTGCCCAGGCGGGTCTCGAACCCGCAGGCTCAGGCAATCCACTCACCTCAGCCTCCCAAAGGCGCAGGATTACAGGCTGAGCCACCAAGCCCAGCTGATAGTCCTCTCTTTTATCCCACTTCCCCCATACCCACCCATATCTCACACACACACACACACACACACACACACACACACACACACACACACGCATACACACACCACAGATGGAAAAGAATTTTCCTGAGACCAGGGTTTCCCAGGTCTGGGAAGGAGGGGAAATATGAGAGTGGGCTAGCAATCCCAAGACATGGGCCTACACGCCCCTCCCAGCGGTGCCACCAGCCAGGAAGGAAAGAAGCATCTAGGCAGACAGGGCCCTCGGTCACCTTGCAAAACATTCTCAGGCTTCGAGTGGGACATGGAAAAAACCAAAGAGCACTACAGCCATGACAGGCTGTTCAGATCAGGTTGATGGGCTGGGGTGGAGAAGTCAGTTGGGTGGACCCCACCAAGCCTTGGGGTTGCATCAGAACAAGAGTACTACCTGGGAGGCTGGAAAGGAGGGACTCCAGGAAGACTAAGGCTGTTTTTCACCAGTTTGGTAGAGAGAGGCTCACAGTCAAAAATGAAGGTGTATTACAGAAAAATTCAAAAAGTTCCACACCTTGCACAGCTGAGTTTGTGAACTGAGATTCCCACCCATGACACAACGATCAAGCACTTTGTTCACACCAGGTCAGCCCTGATGAGGTTTGTGAACCTGGGGCCTCTGTGCTGAGGCAGGTGATGCTAGGATCTCAAGAGGACACTGCTCAACTTGGGCGAGGACAGGCGAGGCGAGAGCTGGAGCCTGGCAGGCCGGTGGGTGGGGTTGGGTGTGAGGTCTTACCCCTTCTGGGAGAACTTCATGGCCGAGTGGATGGGGTAGCCGCCAGGCCCCATAATGTTGCAGCGAGCATTGCATAGCAGCAGCACACGCACCATCTCCTGCTTCCCCAGCTGGCAGGCCAGGTGCAGTGGAGTCAGTCCCTGGTTATTCACCTGGTTCAGGCCTGCAGATGCGTTCTTTCCTAGGAGCTGACAGCATGAGGTCAGGGTGGGTGGGGCCCACACAGGGAAGCCCCCTCATGTTTCTCTCCCTACCACCAGCAGGGGATGAAAGCAGAAGGGGAGTCTGACTCATGAGGACACTGATAAGAACTTAAAGAGAAACGACAGGAAGAGCAGACTTTGGAGCAAGTAAAGAAACGGACTGCCAGTATGGATAGTGCGGGGGTTAGCGGGTGGACTTGGCATGACTGTGGCTCATATAACATTTTTGGGCCAGTAAGTCCAGCACATTGGGAGGCCAAGGTAGAACGAATGCTTGAGTCCAGGAGTTCAAGATCAGCCTGGGCAACATAACAAGACCTCATCTCTTTAAAAAAACAAAACAAGACAAAAACATTTCTGAATCCAGAAACTTAAAAGGCAGTCCTACCTCAGTAGGTACGGGGCAGGGGGTGGGAGAGGGAGGTCTATCTAGGTAGGAATGATTCTTGCTTTTCATTCTGTCCTGCTTAATTTTGTTTCCCACATGTTGGCAATATGTTTTCTTCTTTTTTTTTTTTTTTTTTTTTAGTTGGAGTCTAACTCTGTCGCCCAGGCTGGAGTGCAGCGGCACACTCGTGGCCACCCCAGCATCAACCTGCTGGGCTCTGGCGATCCTTCTGCCTCAGCCTTCCAAGTAGCTGGAATTACAACATGAGCTACCGCGCCCGGCTAATTTTTTATTTATTGTAGAGACGAAGTTTCACCAAGTCACCCAGGCTGGTTTCACCAAGACGAAGTTTCACCAAGTCACATGCGGGCTCAGGCAAGCTACTTGCCTTGGCCTCCCAAAGTGTTGGGATTACAGGCTGAGCCACCGAGCCCAGCCAGGCATTACATTTTCTATAACAGGACACCAGCACTAAAAAGAGAGCTGGGAGGGTTTTATTTTCTCATTCTTGGCGGAATGCTATCTCCCTGAGGTTAGTTAGGATCACAGTGTCAACTGTGTGACACCTGGGCCACCTCAGAGCAGACCCACCGGGCCTGGCAGCAGGCCAGAGACAGCAGGGAGCGGGAGGGACTGGCATCTAGGCCAGATTTGAGGGCCAGCTCCACTCTCAGCTTTGTGGCCCTTCCTGGCACACTTCTTAACTCCACTGACCCTCAGTTTCTTTGGACAGGGAAAGAGGATAAGGATTCCTACCCCAGGAGGGCATTTTGAGAATTAAATAGAACACATAAAGCATGCAGTGCAGAGTCAGGCACCAATCAGCACTCCATAAAGGACAGCTACAGTGTATGTGGCTACTGGGAAGAGAGCACACACACTCTTCGTACTGAGCCAGAGTCTGCGAGGCACCGTGCTGGGCGCTCAGCAGCTCCTCAGAGACAAGAGTTCAACAGTGGGTGTGGGATCCTTTCCCGGAGAGCACTAAGCACAAGATATGAATCCGCCTTTTCTGGAATAATGTAGCTCCATTCTGTCGAGGCAGAGAGAAGTATATAACCTTTAGGGAAATCTTCTCATTCTAGCCAATGAAACATAGTCCAACAGCCTGCCTTTCCAGATGGTGTCTGGCTATGTTGCCCAGGCTGGTCTTGAACTCCTAGGCTCAAGCAATCCTCCCACCTCGGCCTCCCAAAGTGCTGGGATTACAGGCATGAGCCACCGTGCCTGGTTCAACCTGACATATAAAGTAGCTTTTTAATAACATCACTCTATCTACTTGCCCACATTTTTAAAAAGAAAATTTTCTGCCCAGGTAATCAAAAAGTTAATAGTCGGTGCCCAAGAAAAGCAGAACTAAACTGGTTGACTAGAACTGGGCCTTGAGTTGAGTTTGCTGGGTTGGAGGATGTCCCAGGGTTGTCAAGCAAAGAGGGCAAAGATATGTCTCCTTGACAAGCATTGGGAGGAAAGAGTCAGGGAGGTGGAGAGTCCAGGCCTCAAGGACCCAGGGAGAGGTCCAGGAGTGACACCTGAGCCCAGGGCCCCAAAGAGAACAGAGGACACAGGGTGATGTCAGTACCAGTTTCCCTGCCCCACCCCCCACTCACCTGCAGCACCTGGGAATTGTCACCCTGTACAGCATAATGGAAGGCGGTCTCTCCCTTGTTGTCAGTGACGTCCATCTGGGCGTGGCAGTACTGCACCAGCTCCACCAGTATCTCCCCATCACCCTTGCGGCAAGCCAGGTGCAGGGGAGTGCAGCCCTCCTCATTCTCTGTGCTATTGGCGCAGCTGCAGGGGAGGGCCAGGGAGGTGAGCAGGCAAGGTGCTGGGTGGCTAGGGTACTGGGAAACCCAAGTGCAGAAGCACGTTTGAGGTCAAGAGCATCCTTGCCACGCTCAAGCTGGTTGGTTCAAACACAGGGCTGATTTGCAATTTGTATCTGATGTGACTTGTATCAGGTTTTAGTTCAGTTAGCTCACTTGTACTAGAGATGTGCCCCAGGGCCATAGCACGTGAAGTGGGCTGTGGGGTTGCATAGAAAAGGGTTGCAGAATGTGGGCAATTCACTTAATCTCTCTGGGCTTCAATATCCTTATCCACACAACCCGCTATGGCTGCCCTCGGCAATGAACATAGCTGCCATGAGATTAGAAGCCATGCTGTCCAAGATCATGCCTGAAAACTGTAAAGTGCAGTGAGGTTTTGAGTTGTGGGCCTGGGAGCTGAACCGAGCTGCCTGGGGTGGAGAACCAGAGGTGTGGCTACCTGTGGGCAAAATGCCAACAGGTGTCCTGAGCAAGGGTGGGGATAGTGCCCATCCCAAACATACAAAAAGAGGCATTCCAGCTTCCAGAAGGATAGCCAGGTCTGAAGGAGAGACCAAGGATCTGTGCCTGCTGTCAGCCCTCCCTAGCTGAATGCCTTGCACAAACCCTGGAAAGTCTCTCTGAGATGATGATACTTCATCAAGGCTGGGAGGATACAATTTCACAGTGGGTGTAAATCAGTTGCCTTGAGCCTGGAACCTAGTAAGCACTCCAGAAATGTCACATTGTTCCTTCTGACTTTAGCCGGAGTTCTTATGTTCTAGCCCAGGAGCAATGCTGCTACATTTTTTCCTAAGAGATGGTCTTGCTCTGTCACCCAGGCTGGAGTGCAACGGCTCCATCATAGCTCTCTACAGCCTCAAGCAATCCCCCTGGGCTCAAGCAATCCTCCTGCCTCAGCCTCCCGAGTAGCTGGAACTACAAGCATGCATCACCATTCTGGCTAATGTATAATTCATGACCAGCTAATTTCTGTATTTTTATAAAGATGGGAAGATGGGGTCCTGCTATGTTGCCTAGGCTGGTCTCAAACTCATGGCCTCAAGAGATCCTCCCACCTCAGTCTCCTAAAGCACTGAGATTACAGGTGTGAGCCACTGCACCAGGCCTCACTCCTTTATAAGCCAAACTACAGAGGAAAACTGAAGCAGAACCGAGAAACTCCCAACAGCCCCACTGCCCACACAGGCAGGTACACGCATCATCCAGGTGGCTCTGTTCCCCTGCCCACCTGATGACACGGCTGTGGTGGAAACACTCGCGGATGCCCAGCTCCACGGCCAGGTGGGTCACCGACCAGCTGGGGTGGTTGCGGATTAGGTCAGTCAGCTGCTGCAAGATCTCGGTGTGCAGGACCTGGAGGGAGCTCTCGTAGAAGGGCGGCAACTGGGAAGAATACTGCTGAAAGTTCACCAGGGCGTCAGCCTCCGACTCCAGCTGGAAGAGTCTGTGGAGCCAGGCAGAGGGGTGAGACATGGAAATGAGCCGGGGACCCTCGGCCCATGCCCCTGCTGGAGCCAGAAGCCCCCCACCCCAGGCTGCTTCCTGATCTGCTCCAGCTGCCTCCCCTTTCCTAGCACATACACACATCTAAATGGAGTTCAGTTTGGACTTTCTTTTCATTTGAAAACATTTCCTTTTCTTTCTTTACTTTGGTACCATCATTTGGTGCCTTGATATTTTCTTTTACTAGAGTTCTGTCATATCCACGGCCTCCAGTCCTTGGCCCCTTGTACAGAGTAGGAAGTAAATACATGTTGTTTGCCTAAATGTTCAGCAATTGAATATTATATAAATTGTGATACATCTATGTGATGAAATATTATACAGCCATTAAAATGAGATTTTAAAAGAATAGGAAAACATTTAATGCTAAGTAAAAAACCAGGATACAAATTATATATAATACGATGTGGTCTCAACTGTGTTTAAAAAAAAAAAGGCTGGAAAGAAATGTGTCAACAAGTGCATGGTAGCATAATCAATAATTTAAATGTTCTTCTTTACCTATTAGCATAGCTTCTAAGTTTTCTCTAATGAGCATATATTCCCTTATAATCAGAAAAAAAATCGCGTTCAGTTTTAAAGAGTTGAGTTTGAGTCTAAGTTTTGCTATTAAGTTGCTGTGTGACCTTGGGAAAATCTCTTCCCTCTCTGAATGTCATTTGAAACACAATTGTACCTGCCTCCCAAAGGGACTGTGAGGACGTACAAGAAAGCACTGTAAAAGCACTTTAAAACCATGGCTATTACATGTCAGTGATGGTTACTTGAAATTCTGACCAGATCTGTCAACGTACCAAGAAGGTTTTGTCTGATACACCTCTACAAGCCCAGCAGCCAGCCAGGGTCTAGTAAGAGCAGTGCCCAGAATGCACAGGCTCAGCAATGGCCTGTCCTTTCCCCAGAGAGTGCAAACACTTAACAAGTATCTGCTGAGCATGTGATCTGCGTCTGACACCATTCTAAATGGAAGTCTAGATTAATGAACAAAATGAAGAGTACGCCCTGCCCTCCTGGAGCCTGTGTTCTTATGGGGAGATCAGTCCACTAAATAGACTACAAGGTAATCAGCACTCTAGCAACAACAAAGTAGGAGAGATGGAATGGAAGGATGTGATCCCTCGTTCCTGTGAGCTGGTTGTTCCTGCATCTCACCAATCTCAACACTGGAGTTCTCTAAAGCAGATGCTGCTGCTAAGTCAAATACAAGGACAGCTAAAAAGTCACCGCTGGCTTAAACATCATAGAGGCAGGAGTGACCTTGCCAATGTGAAAGGGAAAAAAAGCAGCCTCTGCCCCTGGGATTATAAGGGGGTGGGGAATGAAAGAAATGGCTTCAGCCTTGAAACAGGCGTTACTCCCTTCCTGGAGGTTTTTCTTTGAAGGTTTCTCCTCTGTAAACATTGCAAGATAAATTATATCTTTACCCACTATACCTGTCTAATGAGCACATCTGCTTCTGTAAACTCGCTAGCTTGCTGATGGCAGCAGAATATTGCGATAAGAGTTCTACAAAATGTCCAACTCTAACTTTAGCTAACCAAGATGTAAGCTAGGACGACTTAGGGGAGCTCTGAGTGGGGGCTCGGGGCCGTCTTGCTTGGAATTCTCTTCCTGCAAGCGGTCGCCAGCTGGCAGAGCCTTGACTAATACACTTCTCCTTTGTTAAAATTAAATCAGTGGGCTGTTATTTAATCGCTCGGACGCTACTTCATATGGGGGCTCGTCCAGGAGAACCGAGTGCTTAAATTGCACCCACTTTAACTGACAGGCCTTGTGGGGCTGCACCCCTGAGAACTCTCTGGGTTTGATAGGGCCTGTATCTTTAGCAGACTCACAACGCCCCTGGAAGCCCTCAGAGAGGTAGGTCAAGCTCCTGATTTCTGTTTTGAGTGCATTCCTGTAGGGACCATCGGGAAAGCTGGACGCAGCGCTAATTCCGGGGTCCGAGGTCCTAGTGAGATCTCCTCACTGGGATCTCCTGTTTTGCCCTCGGGCAGCCAGATCTCTCTGTTGAGTTTTTGCTGTCCTGTTTGTGTGTTCAGTGTTTGTTAGTGTCTGTTACTGTAATTAATATCATGGGTGGGACGGGAGCCCGCCTTTATGCCCACATGGGATAATTGCCAACAGCTTCTCCAAGCTCTTCACTGCGGGAGACAGGGAGAGAATCCACCAGGAAGCAAGGAAGTTAATCCCAGGACCTGGCAGCCGGCCAGCAGAACATGCAGGATTGAAGCGCGACTTTCCCCCCTAACAGACCAAACTGGGACCCTAACACTAATCACGGTAGGGAGTGTCTCACCACTTATCGCTGGACTCTGTTGGGAGATTCCGGGCTGCTGCAAGGCGCCCCACAAATTTATCTAAGATGAGTGAAGTCACTCAAGGGCCACAGAAATCTCCCACCGCTTTTCTGGAGTGTCTCATGAAGGCCTATCAGACATATACCCCAATAAACCCAAAGGCACCAGAAAACCGGAGGGCGTTAGTCATAGCCTACGTCTCCCAGTTGGCCCCTAATATATATATATATATATATATATATATATATATGAAAAAGAAAAAAAGGGAGCTGGTTAAGTTGTTATACTTCATTTAATGAGACACGTCGTCTTTTAAAACCTTAATTGGCGTATGTTTCTTTAGGTCATTGTATGTTTCCCTCCCTTCCTTAGCCTGTGTTCTTCTTCACTAATTCTGAAGGAGTTCATTCTAATCCGCCTGTAAAGAAACATAGAAATATCTCTTATATGCTACTTAGCCTTTTGCTAGCTCAGTGC